ATTTTATAATAGAAGAGTTTGTTGAATTCTAAGGAATATATCTATATCGGGTGAAATATTCTAAAAAATGATGTCTTTGACACGCCTCAAGCTATGAGAACTTCTTATAAGTATTCGTAATCAAATACTTTTGGTAAGACTTCCAACATTAATTAAGATTGATATTTAAAAAGGAAGATAGGTGTATTTCACGCTAATATTCCTATTATTAAGACTTTCACATATCTTACAGAAATAAAAGATGTGCAAAAATAATATTAGACAGCAGATAATACGGACCGTATGAATTATTTGAGTAGATCACCAAATTTACAGCAAAACCTCTTAATTGAGGTTTAACCAATAAAGCTTCATCATAAACTTATCGAATTAATCTTCAAATTAATATGGCTTTAATTTTGATATCTTCTGCTTAGTAACATTGGGATAGACATAATACATAAATGTGTTATTTAACTTGACATTTTTTCACATGTTATGCCGTCCAACAGTCCAGCTTGCACAAATAGACAATAACTTAAACTTGTATAAAGTTGAACAAGTCGACACACGAGCCCTACATGACATAACACATGTAGGACATCACATTGGACATAAATTGTCATGTAGGATGTCATGTAGAACGTGTGTGTCTATTTGTTAAACTTTATATAAGTTTAAGTGTCTACTTATGCACACTCAATATTAGAGGACATAATTATTAAAACGGAGAAGGATCTAAATTAAAATGTCCCTCAACTATTTGAATTGGTACAAAATTACCTTTCGTCTACCTTTCGGCCCCCAAATACCCTTGACGTCAATCTTTTGGCTCAAAAATACCATATTTCTACGACCCACACTTAAAAGGTGGATGAGAGAGCAATATTATACTAAATCTCATAGTTTAAGGGTATTTTAGGCCCTTATCCGTTAAAATAATTTGAAATTACTGAATATATGAGCTCACATGATTGACCTAATTTTGGGTTCCATAGTAAAATCACCCCCCCCCCCCCCCCCGCTTTACTTCCTCTCTCTTCTACTTTTTTTCATGAATTAACGAGGACATTCGTATAGAAATAATTGGTTCGATAGAAGATAATTTAATATCATTTTTTCTTTTGTGTGTACTCAAAATTCATAATAAACGAATAAAAATAATATTTTCTCCTCTCCTCACCCTACCCCACCATGGTAATAGTATATATTAAAAGAATATGAACATGTAAGTTCTTTTCAAGTTTGAGTCTCTGATATCCTAATTAAGAACAAGAGACAAAAAAAAAAAAAAGAGGAAAAGAACAGGACAATTGAATAATTATTAAAAAAAATTATATCAATAAATAATAATAATTTTATATGAACATTCATATTCACATTTTAGATGGATCCCAAGTTATGAGTTCGGTTATAATAAATTGGGTATTGATTTAAAATAGGCTAATGGAAATATATCATGAAATAAATAAAGTTTTTGAATATTATTTCACGTGTATCGTGTCAAAATATGAATTATATGTGGTTTTTATTATTTATTTGAGAAGAGTTTAAATTTGGACCAATCATATTAGATCGAGACAACATAATAAATAAATATTTAATTATTTAATTAACTTGAGGGGAGCTGATAAAAATGAGGGCAAATATGAGTGAGACAGTTAATAGCGAGGATATTTCTGAACCAAAAGGTTGACGTCAGGGGTATTTGTTGGCCGAAAGGTGGATGAATGGTAGTTCTATACCAATTCAAATAGTTGAAGGACATTTTAGGCCCTTTTCCAATATAAATAAGATCAAGTTAAAAAATATATTTATGTATTATGTCTCGGACTTTGAAATATATAGTGTGACAAGTTGTTAAGTTGGCCAGTAGAGTAGGTCCAGATACTTTGGTAATGGAGCCCCTTTGTTTCTGTTCTAGTCTTAAATGTCCCCATAGAATTGTTGTCGCCAAAAGGAAAGAAACAATAACTCAACAGTTTAAAAGATACCATAGAGTTTGGTCTTCATCGTGTGCATTGTACAAATGGTCACTATACATAATATTATTGAGGAAAAGTTACTATATTTGTGTAAAAGGCAAGACTTCAACAACTATAACTAATAATCGCTATTAAAATGACTTCAATCTAGTGCTATTCATTCGATCATGTTTTTCAAAATCGAGCATTCTTACACATGCTATGAGAGTGAGGGGCGAGAGAAAGAAAAGAGGCAAGCGAGAGAGGAAAAGAAAGAAAGAGAGACAAGCAGAGAGGCGAATGATATTGAGGAGAGAGGTGTGAGAGATTATTTTTTTCTTGCTTAAATTCTTAAATAGTAGCTATGAATGATAAATATCAAAATTATTGTTATAAATCTCTAATCATGTCAAATGATAGTGATTATTAAAATTTCCTCATCAACTACATATAGCTTGCCATTTTGGCCCTTTTTTATTTTTTAAAAAATCACTCATTACAATGTAATCCTCAAATTAAGTTTTGTTTAGCGAAAGATTATTCTCTCAATAATTGTTCTTTTTCTATGAATCATACATAAGTCAATTGATTAAATCTGGTTAATATATTATAAGTCTTTTTATGATTCACACGACATCTAATCATTTCGATCCAATAATCAACGTGTCAAACTTACTTTTAAGAGGAAAAAATAAGTTGTCTATTGATCCCATCACAGTTCTCAATAATTTATTGTGTTGTATCAATTGTTGATAGTAAAACAATGAGGACAAACGCGTGCAGCTGTTTGAAGTGGTACGTAGAGAGTATGAGAGAACTGTGAGAGAAAAAAGAGACCTATCTGCACTGTACTGCCAACATTTACATTTCAAAAAGGGTAAAATACCATCATTGCTATGCAATTTGCACCAAAACTAGTACTACACATCATCACTGTGACTATCTTTTGTTCTTTTCTTCTTTTGTTTTCCAAAAATCAAAACCCTAATTCTAAGGTCCCATTTAGATATGTGATGAGTAATTATAATATGAATCCAAAATGATATGGAGTTTAAGTTTTATTTTGATATGTAATTTAAAGCATACTTATTTTCTTCATAAACATGAAAATTTTATAAATTATGAATATTAAGTATTATAGTTTCATAATATTTATACAATAAGCAAATCATCATATTTCATAAGATATCTAAATATCCTGAATGTCGCATTGATAAGCACATATTTTCATGTGGCTTTTCAAAGAAATGAATGCTATTATTAACTTTCAAATATAGATAATTTTATATATACTCACTAGTCAATGATGGTAGAATTCGTTATTATTTAGTATAATCATTTCACATGGTATGAATAATCTTTTTACACCAAACAAGAGTCTATTTTTACAAAATTTAAAATGATGGATCTTTCTTTTAATTACAAAACATAAGTTTATGAGTCAAGTTTTACCTTTAAAACATATTTAAATCACGATTTGAAATTCCAAATCATACTTTATAGAGAATTTGAGGTTTGTTTAAGGTCAGGATTCCACTTGGCATATTCAAATTATGATTTGAAATTATTTTTTCTTTTTATTTTCTTTTTAAAAAATTGGGGGGTGGGGGAAGGGGATTACAATGTAGGGAATCAAACCTTCACAAACAAGGTGGGAGTTTAGGTAACCAACCAACTAAATTACTAAGATTCTCCTAATTAGATTTCATGACTTCATATCGTATGTCCAAATGCAAGCTTATATTCATCCATTTTAAATTGTTTGATTGATTTTGATTTCATATGAAATTAAAGAAAATGGAAAAACTTTTGAATGTTGTGGTCTTAAAATAAAATTATATTGAATTAATGTACTAAAATGTCTTTTAATATTGTGTCAAAATAGGAAAAGACAATATGTATTTAAAAAAATAAAGCAAATAAATTGAATGGCCTCCTTAAATACTTGTGCATTTAAAAGGTGTCTGGTTTTATATTTTTGATTGTTCAATATATTGTCCTTCACTAGTTAATGTGTTCAACAACTCCTTCTCAACACATATGGAAGACATAAAAAGGGGGGCAGAGAGAGAATCCAACCCATCAAATCTCTAATTCTCTGTATAATCCCTTAAGTTAGGGGCATCACCTATCTTTGCTTTATTCAGGATTATACAAGCATGAATTTTGACAAGTAAATTCAAAAACAAATACAAAATTGCCATATATGAGATTTTAACCTCTAATTCTTTTAAGGATCAAAGGTTATTCAAAATTCATATATGTACAAAAACTAAAAAAACACTTGTTTAATTTAATTCTGACTCCGTCACTACTGCTCTAAGAGTTTCTATAATTGTAAAGCATTTTAATCAAAGTAAAAAAAAAGCTCTCAAATACAAATGTAACATTATTTTTTATGATAAACTAAAGAGAAGAGTTTTATATAGAATTATTGAAAGAGAGATCCAACTAATTTAAACTGATAATTATTTTCATCACATACCCTTAAGGGTTATTTGGGGTAGAGGAAATGGGGAAGAGATTACAATGTGGAGAATTGAACCCTCACTAATAAGGAATACTCCTTTTGCCCTCAAATAATTGTTTACTCTCTTCTTAGTATCAGATTATACACGTAATAATTTGAGATCGCAAAATTTAAAAGTTTTACTTTTAAAATTTTTGTATTAAATCAAAACCATACAAATAAATGAAAAAGAGGGGAGAAATATTTATTGTAATTCGAATCGCCCAGTTACGATTTTTGTTTTGTGCAATTCCATGTTTGTACTCCAATTTTTATCCAGCTGCAGGTGGGTGAAAGCAGCAATGGATGAAGAACTCTAGATCGAGTAAATGCATGTATTATTGGTCTAATAAGATACTTGAGATAATTATACTGATGATAGTGCCTGTGATTACATATTCTATTATTTAGAAATGTTGATCTTCATCATGTTGTATGCTGCCCTATAAAAGGGGCTGCTAGTTGAAAAATTAATTACTACAATTTTGATAAATATTAAAATCATAATTTTATGCAGGGAATTGAATCATGAGTTGAAACAATCAAAATTAAATTTTAAATCCACCTCTAGTTGTATCAAAATTGTTACTTCCTCCATCAAGTCCGCGGATTATATTTTGTTGCTGCTGCTGCTGCTGTTGTTGCTGCTGATCTCTAGGAAAAAACTGATGGTGATACAAGAGTTGGTTATGATCTCTCCCACCACCACCTCCTCCTCCTATCAAATTGAATCCCAAATGACTAGTGGTACTAGCAATGCCTCCTACATTTTGATACTTTGACAGTTCGGACTTTGCACAGCTAAGGTCTAGCTGAAGCTGTCGGAGCTGGTGTTGGAGAAGAGAGATGACACCAACGCAACCATAGACTGGATCTCGGAGGCGCATGTCTGCCTCATAAGCAAGAGAGTTGACAGCGTCTTCCCTTTGGTGAGGCTGCAACTCATTTAGTAACTTTGTCACATTGCTGGCTCCAAATATTTTGTGAACATTTGCAAATTTCTGGGGCTGATCAGGAGGGAAGTAAGGTGCAAATACACATTCTGGTTGGCATTTACGACGAAGGAATTTACATGCTGCACATGGTGAGTAGGATGATAATGAAGATGAAGCCATTCACTACTAACTACGAATTCTCTCTCTTTAATACCTGCAAATAACAGCTACGGTCCTTTAATAATGAACTCTGCATCACTACATAAATAAGGCTACCTAGCTAATATTTGGGATTTTTGTATGATTATAATTCTATCCACTAATTCCATATCAACTTTTAACATCGTAATTAACCTGATCAATAATAGATTGACAATAATCCGCAAAATATAGCATCAATAGAGTAAAAAGTTTTCCTTTCCGATTCAAACTCTAATTGTTAGTACTCCCTATATATTTATTTATTTTCTCGGAAATTCCAGCTTGCCATATGAATCTTGTACAACTTGAAGGACTAGTGCATTTTTTCATATCTAAGATAACACTTTTTTTTTCTAAAAGAGATCGATGTTCATTACACCTACTAAGAAGGAAAATAACCTTTCACAATCCAAAGGAGAGAGCAATTAGCTCTATGGCACCTCAGCTCCAATAATAAGACACCTACAAATTGAAAAACCTTCTAGTACTGAAAAAAAAAGAAGGTGGATATTGAAGAAAGAAAGAAGCAGCGCAGATATAACAAAAATCAGGATTGATTACTGTTAACTTTAAAATAAAAGCAATTTTCCCCCATATATAAGTTGAGGATAAAACAAGGTTTAATTAAGAATGAAAAATTATATATAATATACTAACAGTAATTAATGAGTACTAAGGATTCGATGTGGATTGGATCCCGTGAAAGTGTGGAAGTAAGAGCTTAATATATCATTATTATTATTATTATTAGCTAACTTCTCACAATCTAGAATCCAAGGATAACCCACTGCAAATCACACTAGGTGAGTCATATGCAACAGGCTCGACTCAAAAGGCATTAGAAGGATCAATTCCTAGTCATCTACATGGATGACCACCCTCCAAACTAACTTACGATCAAAGGAAATTAGATGTTATAGCTGAGTACCTCCTGATTCTAATTTCCGTGCCACAGTGTCGTATGTCCTCGAACACTTTGGTCAAAACGTACGTTTTTTTTTCCCAGTTTCAGTGCATATGGCTCGATTTTTGTGATGGAGAGGTGAAAGTCAAGCTTTGGATCTCGTGGAGTGACAGCTATCTTTTCAGCCTTTTCTTTTGAGATTTCATATATATGGTGGTAGAAAGAAAGGAGTTAATAATGAATCATGCACAAGGGTGTGTGCTTTGGAAACGAATAAAATGGCAATATTTAAGCTTCCGTTTTTAAGGGGAAAATTAAAGAAGGTGAATGTTTGTAGTAACAAGGGGCAGGGGACAAGCATATAAAGATGGTGACAATAATATATGCCAAACACAACAAAAGGAACTTTACTGTTCTAATTTGGCATTTTCCTTTCTAACACTCTTAACTTTTATATTCTAATGTTTTTTTCCCTTCCTTTTCAATTATATCCCCACCAACAAGACAATCTGTTCTTATTATCAACTCTCATTTTATCTTTTTCAAAATATAATTGATATTTTTTATGTCTAAATTTATTTGACTTATTAAAAAGAATTATATATTTTTATATTTAGTACATAGTTTAACTTTAAATAATATTTTGTTTTATACTTAAACACACAAATATTTATGACTTATTTTAAATCATAAGTTTTAAAATCTTTCTTTATTTTTTAAACTATATGTCAAATCAAATTAATTCACATAAATTAGAACCAAAGGAGTAATAATTTAAATGAATAGTAATTAAAGAAGAATTGTTTTGACTTTACAAGTAGTAAAATACAGTGGAACGTACACAATCACACATAATACATGATAGTGTCGAAATTCCTTACACTGCTTGAGATTGTTTAGCTCATGAAATAATAGGTATATAATAATATATGTGAAACTATTTAATCTCTTTGTTTTGTTGAATTTTTATTTAAGTATTAAAAATCTCCTGGATAAAACAATTGAATGACTACAATGCTCTTCTTCTAAAGTCCTTTAAGAAGATTAAGGTAAATATTACAAATAAAAGATTATCCAATTTTTTTTTTTATCAATTAGTTTAAACCAAACAAGTATTATATATTAGTATTTTAATTCTCTCCATATTATATTAATGTCGATATAAAGCTCCACGGTTTATTTGCAAAACAAATGATCCATGAGTAGTGTATCCACGAGTCCAGCACCAAAAAGGATCTATAGCGACAATTAATTAATGACAATATCTTAATTATTGTTATGCATGTATTTTTAGCGACACTTAACACTCTTTATAAATATCCCTAAAGCCTATCTATATTATATCTAATGATAATTAACAAATATTGATAAAAAAAAATTTATTATTCTTTATGAATATTTATGTTTATTTCCGTTAATAGTTTGTTTCTTTTTTAAAAAAATATGATCCAAGAGGGGAGAAGAGTAGGAAAGTGAAGTCGCCCAAGAGAAGAGGCTTCGGAGGCGGGCCGAAAGAGAAAGAAGAGAGTGTAATAAAAGCAAAGTCAGAGAGTTGTTTAATATTTGTGTATTCATTTCATGTCATATATATGGGAAGGGAGCATTTGAGGATTTTCTGATAGAAGAAAGTGGGAGGTTGAGGGAATTAAACTTGTCTCGTGACATTGATGTGACCTTTCCTAATTATTCCATTTGTTACTCATTCAACTTCCTGTCCCCCACCCCACACATCCCTACCTTCTACATCTCTCCTTTTGTTTTCTAGTATAACTAAATGGCATAAATTATTTAGCCATAATACATCATAAGTTTGTCTTTTAATTTGATCCATTCATATTTATATCCTTTCTTTTTCAATGTGCATAAGTAGACACTTACACTTATATAAAGTTGAACAAGTAGACACATAGATTCTACGTGGCATAACACATATAGGACACAAATTGTCATGTAGAATATCACGTAGGACGTATGTATTTATTTATTCAACATTATACAAGTTTAAATATCTACTTGTGCGCACTCAAAATTGGAGAGCATAAATATAAATTGAAGTCAAATATAAAGGCATATTTATGTATTATGCCAATTATTTATTCCTTCAAATTTTACTTTAAAAATCAAACTTTTTCATCCATTTTGAAAAATAATCATTTTTTTCTCTTTTTCCTACATTATCAGTTTTTTTTTGTTTTTTCTACTTCTTTTAATAAAATCATATTAATGTTTTTATTTTTTTAATCTATAAAACATTTTTATTATTAAAATAATATAAATTTGGTCTAAGAAAAGGTAAAAATATTGATTGAGTATACAATTTGATGTCGTTCTATAATGAAATAAATGAACAAAATTAAAAAAAATAATGTGACTTAATTTAACGAAATCTATAATGTAATAACCTTATAAACATATTTTGATGCATAAAAAGGAATTAATAAAAATGAAAGATATATTTGATAACATTTTTTATAAAAAAAATATTTTATTGAATTATTGATAACAAAACTAATTATTGTTTTAAGAAAATTTAAAATTTTGATGGTATCGTCAATTACTCCTTTTCATATAACTTTAGAAATGATAATTTTAAAAGAATCAATAAATTCCCTAAAAATTGAAATAACTTGGTTGAAATCGAATAAAAAAACTATATGATACCTCCTTATCATCTTGAAATCTAATGGTTTTATCAAATTGTTCGAAATGTAAGAAAATATTTAGATTAAGTTTTAAAATTAAAGAGAGTAAAACTAATAGTAGTAAAAAATGGAAGGTGAAGTTGTGGTAAAAATGGTGACATTGAAAGTGAAAAGGTTCAATGGAGATGACAATGAATTTTTGAAGAAAAAAAGAGAAAAAATAATAAGGAAAAAAAGCTAAAATAATAAGAAAATATATTTTATAATAAAATACTTGGAAAAATAAAATTATATTAGTTATTTTAGTTTGCTGACTCTCTATGAGAGAGTGCACACATTCTCTATGTAAGGTAGACAAAAAATGATGTAAAAATATCAATTAAAGATTGTTTAGTGGGGTAATAGGACGCTCGCATAGTTAAGGTGTTTTTTTGAAAATTCGGGACAAGTTCAAGTGTCACTTTATGACTTTTCTCTTTTTTTAATAAATCCACTGAATTAGTGGATTGCCCATTTACTTAATACTTACATTCATGCATACATATTTCCTAGGTTCTATGAATCATTTGGATAATAATATATCTATTAATTTGGGCATTTAATACAGTAACTTTTGGAGTGATTTATCAACCTATAAAATATGGCTATCATTCACCTTTGTAAGATCACTTGAGTCTTGAAGACATTGAATAAGATAATTTTTACATTATAATCTCCACATCTCTTGTTTATATTACTTGTTTTATATTGCTCATGTTTTATAATATTATTTATATTGTAAATAATTTTTTAATAATTTAGAAAATATTTGTTCATTAATGGAAATCAAAATTTGCTTATCTACATAGATAATACAGAATAAGAGATATGCATAGTTACATAAATGTTTCCTTTTAACTTGGTTTCAGTTGTCATTTATGCCCTCCAACTTTGGTTGTGCACAAGTAGACACTTAAACTTTTATAAATTTGAACAAATAGACACACATGTTCTACATGACAATTCATATGAGATACACTATATAATGCCCAATTTTTTGAGAAATTTCTTTGATGTGTGAAATGACATATTTCCCTTCCCCTTGGCGTTTCATGCTTATTATGTGTTCTAGAAATGGTTAGTGTGGTCCTCAATGTGATCGGGTGAGATTTTGGTGGATTTAAGCCTTTTGAGTTGAGTTATATTGAAATAGTTTATTTTAGTCACAATTTTGTGATTCGAGTGTTGCATGGGGTTCTATTAGTTTCATTGAGTCTGAAATGTCGAGTTTGATCTAGTAGGGTGGTCGGTTAGGGTCTCGAGACCTTAGGTTGTGATTTAGATATTTTAGGTTAAAAGTTGATTTTTTGGCCTAAATGAGTTCGGAAGGGGTATTTCTATCATAAAAAACTTTTCTTTTGAAATCTGACGATTCCATTGATTCTGAAATATGTTTT